GTGCTTCTGATTCATCTTTTTTGTGTAATTCCATAAAACTTCAAGCCAATCTCGTGTTCGTACAAGTGTGTGATTTCATGAGAGTTTCATGTTGAATAGGTCAGTTTCGTTCAAAACTTTAAAACAATTTTCAATCATGATATATTATGCATAGCTCAAAGTATGAAATTGTGCACAGCGTATAGCGTCATGGTTCGTCCACGCACTGAAACACGATAGGCACTCACTTATTTGCTACGGATGCTGAGCATTCTGATCCTCTCACCAAACTCGAGGACTCCAAAAGTGCTATCTAGATAATATTGCTGACGAAAACGGCAACACGATTCCTAATTACATGTGCTACTTTTTCATATTATTATTATGTCCGTAATCATGACAGTAATTGTAAACATGGCCGTAATCCTTGTGACGTTATCCACATGCATTAGGCGGTGTAAATTTTACACTCTCATTCTTTGTTGCTGACTTGGTCTTGATGCCTGTTGCCTCTCGCAGAAACTTGAGCATCTTGATCCCAAGTGCCTTAACATATCTGCAAGCTGACGCTTTGTATCGATGTAGCCAATCTTGAGTTATTCATACTGAACGTTGTCCCGAATAAAGTGATGTCTAATGTCCACGTGCTTTGTACGAGTGGGGTAGCCCGCATTGCTGCCAAAGCTATCGCACCTTGATTGTCTTTCCATATTTGCGTGCCTCCCACTAGTTCTTGATCCATGTCCTTGAGCATTGCGCGCGTCCAAAGTACTTATTGTGCGCATGAGCTTAGCACCATATACTCTGCTTCTGCGGAACTTAGTAGACGATCCTCTGATACTTGGACTTGAACACAGCCGGGGCTTTCTAGTATTGATCACCACACCTGAGACGAACGTCTGTCGTCGGTGTTGCCACACCTTTCCAGTCCTTCCTTGGTAAACGATTCCGTAATTCGTGTCAAATTTAAGTAGCGTAGTACACGAATTGTGGCGTTCCAATGTGGTTACCGGGATTCTTGAGAAATCAAGACAGTTGTGTAACGATATATGCGAAGTCCGGCCAAGTGCAAGTTATAATCTATAGCAGACATCCAAACAGCAAGCGGTTTGGTCCTGACCGCATCTTTGAACGCTTAGCTTCTGTACTTGGTGACTGTGACATTGACAGCTTGAGACCGGACGTACACGGATTGCCGACGTCCTTGGCGTTTTTCTGTCCAAATCGCTCAGCCACGTCGCTGTTGTACCGTGTCCGTTCGATCATTCTTTCGTGGTCGATCTCCATGCCCAAGATGAACTTCGCCATATTGAGATCCTTCATCTTGAAAACACTGGTCAGCATCTCCTTGACCTCTAGAATGTCGTTGCTCGTCCTGGCTGCAATGATAATATCATCGACGTATAGACATACGTACACAGAACCTTCTTTCACTTTCTTCACGCAGACGCATTGATCCGCTCCACAACTTTTAAAATCGTTCTTCTTGAAAACGCGGTCGATCGTCTTGTTCCAAGCACTTGCAGCTTGATTGAGTCCATATATAGCTTTGTTCAGCTGACACGCAAATCCTTGACCTCCCTTAACACCAATCGAAACCTCCATGTAGACACGATCCGACAGCACACTGTTGAGAAAAGCGCTATCAACGTCCAGCTGCTCAATTTTGTAGCCTAATACGACACATTGCGAGTACAAATCGAATTGAGTCCATGTTGGCCACTGGAGAGTAAGTCTCGAAAAAATCCACGCCGTATTTTTGCTCAAACCCTTTAGCCACCGATCGTGCTTTGTAAAGCACAATACATCCATTCTGATCGTGCTTCTTAGCAAAGACCCAGCGGCATCCAATCGTACGACCAACGAGTGTCCATGTCCACTTTCTGTTCTGGCGATGCGATTGTAATTCGCTTGTCGCCAATGATCTGCTTCGTCACTAACCATTGCTTGCGCGTACGTGGTAAGCAAGTCCGATTCTTCACCATCACTTACAGCGTAAGTGAGTACAGCTTCAGCTAAAAGGCCGTCTTTATCAATCCTTGCACGCTTTGAAGATTGTTGTTCTTCGCTTCCCTCCAAACTTTCTTTAGCATTTGTTCCGTTCTCCAATAACAACATTGGTTCGCGTCTTGAACGTTCCACTCGAGGTTGGAATACCAATAGATCTTCCTGTGTATCCAGTTTAGGAATTCTGTACTTGGCCAGTTCAAAGTGTACTGAGGCCGGTAATCGAAGTTCCTCGACCCTTGACTCATATTTGTCCAGCTCCTCCTCATTCATTAAAGCATCTGATTTTTTCACACTCCGTAGACTAATCTTGATCTTGTTGGGATTTCATCGACCCGGACACTGCGCTGCCATCGTTGTTCTTGGTTACGTGTATCAATTTTATTTGTTTGGGTGGGTGAGTCTCGTAAATGCCGCCCACTTCACGTTCGTCCAGCTTTACCGATCGTGATACTGTTATTTTGTCTTTCTCCAAACGTAAACTCGGTATCCCTTGGTGTCTTCGGCAAAACCAAGGAACATGCACTTAAAGCTTTTGGCTTCCAGCTTCGTCCTCTTCACTTGATCAACGCGAGCATACCCATGAGACCCAAGCACCCTAAGGTGATCCGTCCGAGGATTCATCTTAATTCCCAGCTCATACGGGGTATTGTTTGGGAGCACTGTATTGGGAGAGCGGTTGGTCAGGTGCACCGCAGTGCTTACTGCCTCAGTCTACCAACATACTTGTAGTGTAGCATGCTCCGTGCCTTTTCCATAATTGTGCGGTTCATTCGTTCTGCAATTCCATTTGTTGGAGACTGTAGGGTACTGTACGCTGATGTATGATGCCGTTCCGCTGACATAACTCTGTAACTGTCGTGTTGACATTGCCGAACGCAAGCATTTGATACGGGTTCCCCATTGATTTTCATGCAATGATTTTAAACATCTGATTGTGTTGGCAAATTCACTTTTCTTCACCAGAAAGTAAACCGCCACAAATCGTGAATTATCATCCACAAAAGTCAAAAAGGACTTAGCACCTCCTTTTGAAAGTGCCTTCATGGGCCCCATCACGTTCATATGAGCTAATTTTAATACACATGACGTCTTGTCATGGAGCGTCCTGGAAAGGCTTTAATCGTCTGCTTGCCCTTCACGCATCCACTACACAAGGTCTTAACACGTTGCTTTGGCGCACCATCTGTGCAGCTGGCGATGGCGTTCTCGTCGCTAATGTAAGTTCTTCAATTCAGGATCTATCGATTTTTCACGAGACAGCGAACAAGGATCTCGAAGAGCGAGCTAATACAGCGATTAGCATTTTAGAACTGGTGTCCTGGAGCCAACGAGCAAAAAAAACTGGTTCTGGTCATCCAATCATACATTTTTTCGCAGCCTTTTGAGCTGTGTTGTACAAGTATGCCATGCAAATGAAAGCGCAATTTTCTTCGTCATCAACCAGATGATTAGAAAAGCATGCGCCAACCTGACTTTTCCATAAAAACGGGAATTTACAGTATGGTTAATTACAAGAACTAATTGAATTCTCTCATGTTATATTTTACATAAATTGTGTTTCTTGAATATATATAGACACCATAAAGGCTCAAAAACGCTTTTACATTTTAGGCAAAAATCCGATGTGGATTTATCGGAAATAATTACTGTAAGCTTGTGCTTGTACATAATTTTATTATTACAATCTGTATAAATTAACAAAGCGCTCTGGTGTGATTTTGAGTGTTATTAGGTACCGAAGTTTCATTATTTATGAAGACAACGAAACTCTGCGGTAAGCCTGAGATGATGAAAATTTACATTTGAAGAAACTTACACTTATATATCCACTGTTAGTCTGAGTAGCATTTTTTCTGATAGTATGCAATCTCTAGGAATAGAGCTTAATACACACCGAATCGACGTAGATACACTCCCGATTGGAAGGTCAGATTCAATTGAGGGGATTTTCGAGACGCGGACTTAAAGTTTATAAATTTCTCTGCGCGAAATGCATGACAACACCGTTGTTCGCAACACTTGTAGTCAATCTCCAAGTCGCGAAAGACTGGTTCCTCTTGGAGGACGGAAGATGGAATTGTTAAGTCGGTAATTAGCATTAATTTAATTTGATTATGGCTATCATTGGCTCCAACAGAATGAGCAAACTGGAAGCCAGAGAGTCGATAATGATAGCTGCTTGCCTTCAAGCGCTCGCCAGCTTTAAGAGGGCGCTCATAGTGCAACGGTGCTGCCGTAGCTCTTTCGCTAAGAGGATGCAAAGCTAAGGTCGTTGACCTTCGTTCTATACTTAGAACCAGTATGCAGTGGGGCTGCGTAGCTCTTCGCTTAGAGGAAGCTAAGCTAAGGTCGGCGACCTTAGCTTCTTTCCAGGAACTAGTATTAATGTAGCGGATCGCAACTTCTAAGTACAGAAAACTTTAAACAAGGTAAACGAACACTTCGGTTCAAAATCAGAACTGTATTAAATTGTTTTAGTTGCTGCAGAGCCACCAATATCCTAAACCCTAGGTTTCCATGATAATTGTAGTAATACCTTATAAATGAGGCAAAACCTAATAATTTGATTTATTAATACTAATATGCATTACTACTGACAATCCTGCCACGTGGCGGCTTCTTGTTACGGTGTAGCCACACCGCTGTGTAATCCACACCTATGTTATGCGACCTGGTCTTTCATACAACGGCACGTGTAAGCCCGTTACACTCTCCCCCATCAAAATTGTGCTTACCCACGATTCACATTTAACTGTTGCCTCCAAGGAGGCTCGCATGTCTGAGACACCGTTACGACCCCAGGACATCCTTTAAATAATCTCCGCTCAAAAAGCCTGATGTCTATGACACGAAAAACACTCTGGTTTCGAGAGCGCCCGCGGGCAGAGCCTTTCTTCGTCAGCACGCGGTGTAACTTTGGTCAGCACGTCCGCGGCTTCAAGGGAAGCGCATCCCAAGCCCTCGGCAAATTAGTACCGCGCACTGCGCCCGCCACGGGCGACGGATTACCCTGTCG